TGATGTCTATTATTGCAAGACAAGTAACAGTAAGCCAAAACAACATGGTATCTATTTTTTACAAGACATAATACCCAAAAACTATGTAATGTCTACTTTTACAAGACGATGCCAAGCCTAAATATCATAAGCCCTGTAGTCCAAAACAATGCGATTTCTATTGATCACAAGCATCTACCGTCAATGCAATGTCTATTTTTTTACAAGAAACAATACTCCAAAACAAGTCTGTTTTCATGAGAAATAATACTTCCAATAATATTATCATGACTTTCACAAAACACATGGCATTCAAATAATGTCATATTAATCAGAAGAAAGTACAGTAATTACCTAAATCTGTTAAAAACTTGGAAGCAACTAGACCAAGAGGCTTGGGAGAATTCACCTCAGTTACTGTAACTGTAAAACTTAACTAAGGTTTCTAGTAGAAGTAAAAACATTAGATTATTTAATTATTAAACCAGTTTGGTAAAAGAAATTCAAACCACCTCATTACTGTATCTGTAAAACTTAACTAAGGTTTCTAGTACAAGTAGATTAGATTATTTAATTATTAAACCAGTTTGGTAAGAGAAATTCAAACCACCTCACTTACTGTATCTGTAAACTACACTAAAGTTTCTAGTACAAGTAAAAACATTAGATTATTTAATTATTAAATCAGTTTGGTAAGAGAAATTCAAACCAACTCACTTGCTGTATCTGTAAACTACACTAAGGTTTCTAGTACAAGTAAAAACATTAGATTATTTAATCATGAATTTAGAACAGGAAGATAAATCCATCCTAATAGTTTTGTCCAGTGTTATAGTTCTTAGCTATATTGTGATCAAATAATAATACTAGAGCTTACACTATGAATGGTGTTTTAAAATGTACTGATTCATACATGCAAAGAGTAAACATTTTTACCTGGTCTCCGGTCAAGACTACAGGCAGATGTAGCTCGTTTCTTACTTCCATCAACATCTCTTTCTTCAGAGCGGCGTCCACCGCTCGCAGCAAAGAGTATTGAGGAAGATCGACCTCCTAGAATACCAACATCCAAATCTAAAGTTCTAGGAGTAGAACTGCCAAAAACAAATGATGATGAACTTCTCTGTGCATAACGTCTAGCTTCTAGCTTTGATTCTCGATCTAGATTTCTTCGAAGCAAGGCTTCTTTTCTTTCCTAGGCAGTTAAACATATTTTACTTGGATTAAAACAAATACATATCTATTAACTTTTTCCACAAGGGTAGTTCAATGTGGCCAAACTTGTAACCACAAAGTAACCATCAGAGTTACCATACAATAACATCTATATCTTCAAAAATTTTGGCAAACTCTCAGTAAACATTACAAGTCTCTTGTACAAAAAAATAAGAATTTTTAATTGAATGTATTTACTAAAGACTTGTCCATGAATATACAAAGTCAGTGTTGGCCACTCTGAGTGCAAAGTGATTTTTATGTTAAGATCAAAAATACTTTGCTTCATCTGAAAATTTTCACATTTCATTTACATAAACTCTTAAATCTCCAAAACAAATATGAAATGTTTTTTTAGTAAAACATTATACTTATAACTTTATATGGACTCAGTCAATTTGATCAACCTTGTAACTAATATAAAAAATGAAATAAATCTAAATTACCTCTTTTTTCATTTTAGAATGACTCAGATTGTAACAGAAAATTACAATTGTTTATCCTAAATAACACAAGGCTCATAACAACCTTCATCTGTTTCTACTTAAATTTGAGCCATATCTAACTAATAAACCCACCACACAAGTTGTAAATCACTTATATGCATGGATTAAGTTACCATATTGAATTATGTAACAAACAAGTTGCTTGTGCTCATACCTTGTGAAGAATTATTCGTGTTATTTCTTTCATTATTTTACCTACTAAATATTGATTTTAACATTTTAGTTACTTTTAAAACAATAAATAAAAAATATACATGAAAAACCCAAAATATAGTGCTTACCTTTGACCTCGTTTTTTTTGCTGTTGATGAAATTTACAGCTTTACATATATATATATATATA